AAGTGTGACAGCTTTCTACTTTTCTAAGAGGTGATTCTGCGTCCTGCATGTATTAAGGTGTGTGTACCATGTTGTAATGCGTGGAGAATTTTATGGGTGGTTATGGTTTGGTCTAGGTTCAACTATATGAAAGCTGGAATTGTTCTTGGGGTTGGCATTTAGCTTGCGGGCTGGATTTCTAGGGTTGGCACAAGTAGCATAGAACTAGGCGGATATTGGGCTTGTATCCATGGGTTAAGTCTGTAACTTCTCGGGATGAATGATTGTTGGATAATCCGTCAATGATGACATCATCTTACAGGTCTTAGAGTCTAACAGCGAATTTCGAACGGTTTGTAACCACTAATCAATGACTAATAAGTAGACCCTGACAGACTGAAAAGCACCTGCTGAAAAGAGGAAGATTATTGATTGATTCATTCAAAGATTGAGATTTTTCAATGCATAACAAATCTAAGTTTGAATGTGAAGGAAGGGATGAACTCATTCAGTACCTGGTGCAAAATAATTTTATTGAAACATTCTTCATTTCTAGCGCCACGTGACTTAGCCTTCAAAACTCTAAAAGCTGATACTTCTTCCAAGAAAGGCGTAGGGGAGGGGTATCTTGGGTATTATTAGCCTATTAATTTCGTTGCTTGTACGTACTGCTAGATTTTATTATCGGGGATATTTTAAAAAGATTTTATAAATAATGTTCAACATGGTTTTAGATGGAGGTTCTGAGCTCGGTAACTTGCTAGGTTTCATATAAACACACAAACACATAAAATTCCTGATGTTTTGGTTGAAAAACTAATACTGTGTATCTTAACTTTAAAAAAACGTTTGTTAAAGATGCGCAAGTTGGAAACTTCAAATTTTATGATGTACTATTATGTTCGCCAGATTTGGCTTTTTACATCATAACACTTGTTGTTTCTTAAGTGTATGATATGAATAGCGTTTTATATTTATATTTAATATCGTGATCAGCTTTTATAGTAAAAATGTTTTTTTGCGCATTAAAAATTCGACTTTTCGGCCCATGGGAGCAGGTCATTGTTGTTAATTAAACACAGCCTGAAGATGGCTGGTTTATGTTGAATCTTCATCTCTTTGTATTTAATAAAACTTTCCATGTTATAATCCAGAAAAGTTAAAACTAAATAGCATATTGGCTTCTTATTTTTGGGTGTTAGTCGTCATTTACTACAGTAATTTGTATAGCTTCTTGGACAATTATGAAGCTCGAAGAACAAGTAAGATCGTAAAAGTAGAACAGCCGTAATTATAGAGCTCAGTAGCAGAACAGAAGATGATACCAAGAGCAAAGTTACACCATCGAACCCTAATTTTATAAGCCAACAAGCCTACCTCTGAGCCACCGTGAAACAAGATGGTGGACATGACCAGTAATGTCGAAAATGTTTTTTAAATCAGAACAACATTGGCATTCTTAATGAGTAGGCAAAATCACAATGAGAACTGTAAAATGGTCCATTTGCAGTTTGGGTATTTGTAAAAATGCTTATTGTTCTCGTTAATTAAGGGAACATAGTTGTTCTAAGGAAAAACACAGGTTTAGGTGCGATTATTGGCAATAGCTTGAGAAATTTGATTGGTTGTTTATATGTAATCCAAAGAGCTAATTTAACTTTAGAATAGTGATTTTAGATTGACTTGAAACAGTTATTATCCCCTGTATAAAACTCTTGTGAAGAATGTTTAGTAATATCATGTTTGGGTTTTAACTCCTTACTGTAGGAATTGTCATTGTTACGTCTTTGGTCGTTAGTTAATTTTCAGTAAAAATTCTTTCCGAAGAGACTTTAGCGATACAAGTCCTTTCTTAAATAAAACTGGTTTATGCTTTCTGAATACAACTTTGCAATACACTTAATTTCCACAGCCACGCTATATCAGACTGTGGGTGAAGTGGCGTTGTTTTGGTCTTTCGGATGCCAAACAACTTGCAGCATTCTTGG